TGAAATTGTTAGCATTTTTTTCCATGAGCTGTTGAGTGTGGAGTGCGGTGGTGAATTGTAATGTTATGGGTTGTCAAGCAGTGCCCAGGGAATCACGGTACAGGTAGTCATCATTATAAACCTGTCATTCTGAGAACATCAGCAGTTGCAGTTACAGTGCAGCCATGCTTTGTGGATATGTTTCTTTAAAGATGCATTTGTTTGGTTTCCACTTGCTCACGTTTGTGCCCTCGGGTTTATTTTCCTATTCACCTCTTTTTTTTCTTTCTTCAATTTTACAAACAATTAATTGGCTCTTTCAATTTTGTTGGATTTTATTTGCGAGCAGTACCATGTTTTTTTGGTAGTAATTTTATGCTTAGATATTACAGATACATGTTTTGTGTATGAAATCGGTTTCACGTTTAACATACTGTGCGTATATCTGGGCTGCATTGTATTTCATTTTCATTTACACATTCACAATCATCAGCCATGATCTGTCCACTGTTGGATGAACACTTCTCTAAGCCGTTGTCATCCCTCATGGTCGCACAATGCTCTGGTTTTATCGCTCCATTTCGTCGCTTGGGTATGTAGTATATATATGTTTCTGCCTTTGCTGCCACTCCATTGTTAGTCTCAACCACTGGCCATTATCCCGTTTAGCGACGTGTTCTGTCCAAGCCTTCTTCTATTAACAGTCGATATGATTGAGCTAATTGTGAATGTTCTTTGATTCTTGTGTACCTCTTCCTGTTTCTTCAGTGTAATTCCAAGCATGTGGAATCGCAGCATTGCCTCATCATAATCGTCCATTTGCAATACTGCACAGTATCACATCATCACACAATCGCACGTGCACATTACACACAACTTGATGAGATTGAATTTCTTGAAGGCAAAAATCCGCTTACAGTGAACAAATTTTGAGCATGTGAATTATGTAGGTCTTCTCAGACGCTCACATGTGGTGTCTTGTGTGGCAGGGACGTGAAAAGTAATCTCTGGGAAAGGGTAGCGTGTAGTTCCACTGGGAGCCACATGATGTTGTAAAGGGCTCTGCTTGCCTTGCCTATGGCTCTGTATAATTTTCATACCATCTGGTCAAGACGCAGTCTGCCCGAAAATATTTTTGACTAAAAATTATTCAATTCAAAATATGAACATGTATAAATGAAGTCATTGACCTGCAAGTTAAACTGACCTTCAGGCTTATTTGTGCTTGGAAGTTGCTTTCAGAAGGAAAACAAATGACAAAATGGCATGTTGGCTGCATTTACTTGTACTGCTGACTTTCTCCTTTGAGGCAGCTGAGTGAAGATATATGTTTTGGCCGGCAAACAATTGGGAGTTGTGATGCCATGTGGCCGAGGCATGTGAAACACCAGTTCCTTCTCAGGGCATTTACCGTTGGGTTCTGTTTAATGTTCTGCCTGTGCCCTCGCAGAGGAAAGCTCTGTGCTTCTTTGGCATGCGCAACAACGCATTTGGGAGCCCCCGTTGATGCTTTTCTGTTTATGCCAGTGTCCGCCACACCTGTGAATGCAAAGCTGTGACATATGATTTCCACGTGTTTTCGTAGTGCCGTTCAACAGACACGGCTATTTTTGAGTAGTATAAACTTTCATGTACGTTAAAGATTGGCTGCAGCTGTCGTATGTGGGAAATATACTTGTGTTCATACACGACCTGCCAGGCATTTAGTCTCTCAGAGCAATTTAAAGTAAACAAAGCCCAACTTTAGATTACTCTTTGTTCTCTCAACATTCTGTCATTCTTAGAAAAGGTTTAGCTATAACTATTCAGCACTTGCTTGGAATTTAGAGCAGCATGTGGCATGTTTTTTTATCCTTGGTTAGCACTGAAAATAGAAAGCAGTCACTTTAAAGGGCCCAGGCTTTTCATTGTTAATATCTTGAACTCTCTGCAGGCTATTCAGACCAACTTTCAGGGTGATAGGCAGGCTTCTAACGGCCTCACAGCATGGAGCCACGCAGAAGCAACACAACTGCAAAGGTCGCACCCATACTCCTGCTTTCTCAACTGCCAATCTTGCCGCTGAATATTCGCTGCCGGCAATGTGTGTCTGCAAAGCGAATTAACTCCTTCTCATCCCGAGAATCACACGGAACAAGCGTGTATTCATCATTATTTACTCCCAGTGCAGTGTTCCAAGCACAGTGCGTGCTGTGTGCGCACAATGAACGTACCAGCTGCACTGAACTTGAATGCACCGATGCGAAATAAAGCTGTAGTGATCGGGCTCTCTTTGTGCAGGACTAGTTTCATAAATCTCTCGAAAGAATGATGTACTTAACAGCTTTTTTATATCTTTTATTTTCTCAAATTAATACTGGAACCACAAAGCAATGTACATGCCACGGCACAGCTGCGAGGTGGCTGTGCATATCTGCTTGTTCAGTGCCAAGAGCTGCCAGTGCATTAATGGCATCTTACATTGAGGCCAATGGCAAGCACACTCAATTTGTGTTCGAGCAGCAATGAAGACACCCGGGCCTGTTTCCCAGTTGCCACCGAGTGCACCTATAATTTCCTGCAGTCTTTGGGGTGGAGAGTTATCACAGCTTTACAAGAGAGAATAAACAGAATTAATATCATAACTTTTTCTCGATTTGCATTATTTGTTTATGACATCGTGGTTTTCAAGTGTTTATGGAAAGGTGTCTTGAAATAGAGTGGACAGCTTGCATGCACCGTTGGCGCTGTATTATAACGCACTACCCATTTGACTTTGTCGACGCGAAGGTAATATAAATAAATTAAACATTAATAGAGCAAAGTTAATGCATTGTTTTTATGAATTACTTTAAAATAATGGAATCTGAATAAATATGTACTGCTCAATCAACCGTGATAAATCAAAATAAATACAATGTTAGATTTATTTTAATACTACCTTATGTCACTAATTTGAACATTATAAAACAGCACTTATAATTTACTTACAAAAATTAATCGTCCTTTTTTTCTTCAGTTTCTAAAGTCTATCTGGCAAAATAGAGATTGGTTCTAAATGCAAGGATAATCGTCATCGTCGTCATCATCATCTTCTTCATCCAACGTTAACTCCTCTTTCACTTCAGCATGAGTGATAAGAACAATATCTCATCAGCCTTCACTCTGGATTCAGCTATCACAATTTATTTTCAAGGCTACTACAAGACTAACTTGTTTTTTCCTTTTGAAAATGTCATCGTCTTTCAACGTACATGTTTGGTCTGCCTTACTCTTCCATTTTGCCTTGCCAGACAACGCCCTGGCATTCTTTCCCTCTTGAGTTATGTGTGTTGTTGATTGTGGCATTACAAGCACCGTTCTGTGTAGGGCAAATAATTGCATAATGAGCTTAAACTAGGACTTTGACATTGCTGCTTTCGAAAGCGTTGACTGTTGGGTTTGCCATCTGTCATGGGTATCTGTATCGTGGATCTCTTAATGGCTTGCAGTGCACATCGTGAATGTTAGTGCGCACTCCCTCCCTTCCCCCCACTGTAGATAAAAAATATGGCACAGCTCTCAGACGTGGTTTCGGGTCGTACCGCGTGTTGTTATTCGGCACGACATCCGATATTTCTCGCTGCACGCGCTGGGAGACGTGATGCCCAACGTTTAATCGCTTCACGTGCTGGGCTCTTCTTCAGTTACGGAATAATCCTTGAACTGAAGGGTTCCTGAAAGAAGCTCCCACCACATTGAATGAAACGTCAGACATCATGCCGAACAACATGCTGCACAACCTGGAAAACATCAGAGAGAGCCACACACAAACAACTGCGAAAACCTTCACAGTGTTGCAACTGTAGTAGTCTTCATTGTGCAAGCAATAGCTTGCAATACTCTGGTGCACGCGTAGTCCTCTAACATTCTGACTGGCGCAGTAGCCTGTCATTGCATCTGTTGTAACGTGTTTTCTATTGGCCAATATAATGCAAAGGGGACAGCGATTGATTCAACCTTTTTATCAGTGGCTGTACACTTGCACAGTACTAATGGGGAGATGTCACCATTTATTTATGTTGTGATTATCTCAAGGATAAAAACATTTAGCCTGCTGACAATGTTGTGTACCAACATGCCAATAGAATTTATGCGCATCGGAATTGCTGAGTAATATGAGGGCAAAGCAAAAGTAATTGATACTTTGTGCGTAATGTCAAAAAAAAGTACAACAATGTGTGTTTACTTTTGAAGTTAGGTTTGTGAGCTTGTTACGGCCATATAAACGTTAAGAACAGACTGCTTGCATGTTGGTGGATATTGGTGAGGCAACACAATGGATGCATGTAGAATATCTGTACAATGTGACAACAATGCCCTTCTCTACATAACTAAGATTAAAACTCAGTCCCACAAGCCTACAATTTCCATCCTAAGTCCATGCATTTGTGGGCCCAAATACTCATCGCCGTTTACTCTTGAATACACACATATTAAAAAAATGGTCTCTCGCATGTTTAGCAATAGGATGATTCGCTGGAGGATGATTAGCTATCACTTTATATATACAAATTTTGTAGCATTGTTTGTCAATTCAATGTGTTTCATCAACAAACTTTTCAATCCATCACCAATTAAAGCCAGTTTTCTTAATTAATTATTCATTCAAATCTTAATTTTCTTAAATTTTCATGAAGAGTTTGAACTTTTGCAAAAGAAAAGTGCAATGTTGTTTCCTAAAAAAAAAACAACCACGTAAAATTAAATTCCATGTCATTGAATAGTCTGTGGTTTCCTTGAGAACACGACATTTAGATTTCATCAAAACCCCACGAATTGTAATGCACACAAACTCAATCAACCGTCATGTACAATTAGCACGATAAATTACGTTTATTTGCAAATACGTTGTCTTTTGTGACTGTAGAACGTTTGTGTTGTTTTGCTATTTCACAAAATGTCATTCCATGTAAAATTGCCCGTGAAGGGGGATTTTCCCCAGTGCGCAGACACCTTGATATTTCCCGGCGTGATGTGTAATTTCCCTCTCTTCCCCACAGAGCGTGAGCACTGGTCCGCGATACATCTGCGACCCGTCCGTCTTCGCCTTCCGCTCGCTCAGTACGCTCAACCCCATGGCCCCGATGACCCCGGTGGAGGAGCCCTCCTGTGCCTGATGCCCTGGCAACTCCGACAGGGCTGTTATTGCTCTCCCCCTGGCACGGCTCTCCAGCCGACCCCAGGCTTTATCCCGACTGGGCTTGCACAGAGCGATGTCAAGCCGGCGCGCCGAGAGGCGGCTCTCAAACTCTAGCGGGGCTCCGTCAAGGCGACGAGGAGGAAGAGGGAAGATTTCTCGTCAAAAAATGCTGAGCCTGCTCTACTTGGCTTTGTGCAAAAGACACTCCCTCGCCCTTTAGGGCTGTCGAAACTGCTTCGGGCAATGAAGCAGAATCGTGCACAAGTTTTTCCTCATCAGTTTTTCTTGTTGTTTCAAGGCGGTTGGATGCATCGACAACTAAACTTCTGCCATTCAGCAGCTTTCTACTAATCTGATCTCAGGATTGAGCAGCGCACGACACACATGCCGTGCTTCTACTAGAGGTCTAGGTGCCTCCCGAATCTCTCTTGGAAGCGGACGTTGCTGCCTGGCCACTTTTCTGAATGCACACAAAAGTCTTGGAGTGCAGTGGCACATTCTCTTGCTTTTCTTTTCAATTTTTGTGGACCCTGTGTTTTGTGTTGGCTGCTGACTGGGCCCTTGGCCTGCAGGGAGATTGATGCAAGGGGTGACCCAACACCTCTTATCAGCAGGAGAGCAGGAGGAAACAGGCCCTATTTGACCACGTGATTTAGTGGGCTGACCTTTACAAAAAGCCGGCCTCGCCTGAACATTTGTCTCCTCCTGTCCTTTTAATTCAGGGAAGAAAAAAAAACATTACATTTGAATGTTCCTTTCTCTCACGTGTCTTGCATTGTATTGCCAGTTTCACTGCAGGTCTCCTGCTCCCCCAACCCACTAAGTGTGCTCAGGCAAACTTACTACATCGTCATTTTCAAGGACAAGAGTTCCTTTTTGTGACTGCTGCAGAGCTACTGTAATAGCTCTTTTGCATTTTGATGCAACTGATTTTTCTTTTCAGAGCCAAGCAGAACTCTTGCAATCGTATTTGACTCCACCTCTCGCAAACATGAAGACTTTAAAACAACCATGTTGAAAATAACTTGAGGCAACATCGAGGAATATTAAATAGCAACCATACATACGTGGATTTTTTTTTTTAGTTTTAGAGCATATCGTTATTGATTAAGATTGTTGATGGAAGTTTTTGGCAGTTGGTTTCAAAGTGAAAGGTTTAGGTTTTTTAACGTTTCTCTATTTTTGTTGAAAAAAATCTGACTGATAAAATCAACCACGTTTAAAGGACAATTTAAAATACAAAAAAATGTCAATGTCTTCAGATTTTTGTTTGTAACCTTCAGGAAACCACAGCCGATAATAGTTGCACTCAATAACTAAGCCTTAATACGTCACATTTCTTAGCTCAAGTTCAGGAACCGGTCACAACTGACTGGGTTTTCAAGCCTTTTTTCCCCTTCTAGTTTTTTGTTCACGACATTTCTATGTCTCTATGAACACACACGATGTTTGTGCTTTTTATTTTCTCTAGTCGCTACGAAGCAGCAAAAAAAATACAAGTTCCGTTCAGTTATTGATTGGCATGTTAGTCGACGTTTATTAACGTTTAAAATGTAATCTCGCTTATAACCGTAATAAAAAGTAGTCTGTGATTGTTGTGGAACAGTGGTTTTTGCAATCCGTTGTTGTAGTGGAGGTGCCGTTACTGTGATTTTTTGACTTATTTCCCTTTAAACCCATTGCGGGTTTCGTTTTAATGCATGAAAAAGCTCTGCAGAGCAGATATGTGCGTCGTCTTTATTTTCTGCCCCTTTTGTTTTCGTTCGTCTAGGCAGGATGGGAAAAAAATTACGTTGTGTTGAGAAGTACAAAGCAAGTGTATAGTCGGCTAGTCCTTATGGAAATCTTGTAACAAACAAAAATATAAGTAGCGTTCAGTGTTGCTGTGCTGTATTAGTGTTTCTAAACGTGTTGCTAAAGCTGCTAACTTCCACTATTGAGGATGTTTTAAGATGTAAATATTTGCACAAATGCTTCAACTCCTACTATTATCCCCTTGCTACTTTTTTTGTATGTGTATGGCAGGCTCGGCCTGAAGTAGCTAATAATGCTTGTTTTATAAAGCAGCATAGCTTTTGTAAAGTGTAGTCACGTGACCTGCGATGATTATGTACACCTGCATTTCACCTATGGTCTAAGTCCGTGCTTTTTGGGGGGGGGGGGGGGAATTTTTGTTTTCTAAGTTGGCTTATGTTTCATTCAGTAGTCGATTGTTTTAACTCTTGGTTAGATAGGCGTTGTTATATTTTTTTAACAATACATTTTATTTTATTGCATCACACATATTTTGAATTGGATTCTTTTGTATGCATTTTATATACGTCTACGGAAAAAAAGAGAAAATCATTTGTTTGTCAAACTCAAGAAACATTTAGCACGGTTGATGTGTATGGGCGGGGGGGGTCTAGCACTGAACAGGGAGCGGCAGTACGTAAAGCTGTGTCTGGCGGCAGGAATTGCAAACGTTGTTACGTGGCTTCTCTAAAGCACGTTTTAACTGCGACTGTTCCCCCTCTACCCTTTGTTACATGAAATGTTCCTCCTATTAGAAACAAAGTCTAGAGATGTGCACGCAATATGTAACTAATCACGTTGCCATAAAAATGTATGTAAAAAATCAATCCCGCTTTCCTCCTCCCTGAACAGTTCTTACCAATTGAAATTCAGAGTTACTTTGAATGTTGTTTAGGAATTTTTTAAAACTTTTATTTCTGCTTTCGTTGACAATTGCTTCGGAATATTTCACGAATGGATAATTACAGAAACGTAACATCATACGAGTGGATGCCATCAATTGGGCAGTTACATGCAGCCTGCGCGAGGCAGGTGTAAAGGGGGTCTATTTATTGATACAATGGCTTTTGCTTGTCGATTTAGTCGAATGCGGTGCGTATCTCCTGGGATAACATTGGGGAGGGGGGGGATGCCGCACATTTTCATTCAGGTGGGTTCGCACGCAGCACGGAACCAATCACAACACACCGTGTGACCCGAACGTAAAGTTTTCCACCACAGTGGCGTCAACGCGCTTGATGTAATGACGTAAAGGCACTTGATATGTTCTTTCACACAAGTCCAGGGTCGTGCCGGTGTGAGCTCACCATTGTAGCACCTTGGCTGTGATTCAGTCACTATTTAAGATATAAGCAAGTGATTCAAAGTGATGGTTGAGCAAATGTATGCCATGTACTCGATAGATATTGTACATGTTTTACACATTTTCTGGATGGGAACTTTGTATTTGTTTCCCACTTATTTTTTGCATGTTTTGGTCAGATGCATGGACCGATTAATACAAAAAACATCTGCATTTCGGGTCTTAAAAAAGATGACCTTGTCAAGGTAAATGAAGCCACGATGTTGTCATTTTTTTTATATTGTTTTGGGGAATTTATATCAGCTCGATTCTTTTGTTTATACTACATTTCCTCGTCTTTGATCAGGATGCATTCTCTCATGTGCATCGTAAATGGTGCCGGCTGAATTCATGTTGAGATTGGTTAAATACAAAAAAAGGATGTACATAAATGTAAACTTCATATTTCAAGCACTTTATGCAGTTGTTTTTGGCTAAAAGAAAAAAAAATATTAAGTACCTCAGTGTTTGTTTCCCTCAACCCCTAATTTTCTTAAGGTACAACAGTCCCAGTGGTAGAGAAATGGTGCATTCTAGAACTAATACTTATGCTGCCACAATTTCAAGTGTCCACAATGCGTTACAAACTTTAAAAGATTTTTCAAAAGCATCATCAATCCTTTGGTAAGTGTTTCATCGTTAAAAATATTTGGACAAGGTACATCCAGAAGCATGCATTTTAACACTGAATATTAATGAAAACCTCTTTAAAACCAGAGGTCATGATGTCACGTGAAATTTTGGAAATCTTTTCATGTGGATATTTGCCAGTACTCCACAAGCAGCCTTGCTTCACAAACGTACAGTTTTCTTCAACTGGGTATGTTTTTGGATTGTCTTGCTTTTGCAATCCACGATGTTACAGTGGCTTAATGTCAGTCTCTCTGTGTCATCATTTGTAAAACCAGTTTAGAGAAGAGCCTCAAGAAAACCCACTTCTCCCTAACCGTAGCCCATGAAGATGCACACGTATTACCGTAAAAGAAATGTTACAAATAATGTGTCTGTTAAACTATATCTACATTTTAGATTAATATGGTCAGTGTAGCCATTATAGATTTGTTTTAACCCCTTAATGTCAATTCTTTTATTAGTCACTTTAAATCAGATTTGTGTTTATATTTTGTTACAACTTAGTTCACTTTTGGAAATTAAGGCTCCTCTGAACTGACTGCCATAACTTCACGCACTTTCAGGAAAGTGCATTGCTAACTCAGGATTTTTTAGCCAAGGCCAGTGTCCAAATGAAACTTGGTAGATTTACAACAATAAAACAGCTGAATGTACACACAGATGACTTCACCGAGCTGACTGACATACCTCATCTCTTTCAAGTAAACAACATAGATTGCATTTTATATTTGAGACAGGGACATTGTAGCGATGGCTTTTATTGTATTCTCTCAGTAACAAAAAGCTTTTATTAAATATTATATTTGTGTAACTTTTTTATACATGATATAGGTAGTGACTACAATGCTGTGTAAACAACATTTGTCTACTCATGCCCCATCTTTCCTCCTATGTTGATTTTGGACAGTTACCAATAAAATATTTTACAGTGTTTACATTTTTTGTCCAGTTTTGTATATATTACAACGATGGTTAAGCTTGAAATCGTCTCATAAGACTGAACGGTAATGCGAAAGAGCATAACAATGAATGCACAAAGTAATGCCAAATGTTTTTTCAGTTTCAAGACTTTATTTCAGGCGTGTTCTGCATTGGGATTTGTCACCAAGAGCATAAATGAGTGATTGTTTTCACGTGGGTGAGAAAACCGGAGGACCAGGAGAAAACCAACCATGCACACACAATGATCCACCCAGCATGTTCTACACACGAGCTGATTTCATTGCTCTATCTCCTTGATGGACTTCCTCTCGGATGCGTTCCATTTGTTAATGTTTTAAAAAGTTACGACTGATAGGGGCTAGTCTAATAATACATATGATCACATATACACTCTTTTAACACGTATGCACTTGCATCATTAGAATAGTAAACAATTGTAGAACGAGCACAAAGCAGCTGTGACAGTATGTTTTGGCAGCCAATTATAAGTATTGGCTGTGGTAAATGAACAGTAATATATGATTAGGAAAAAAAAATACCCTCGCTTTCACAAATGTAAAGCCTTTATAAAAAATCGGCCCATTTCCCAATAGAGCAGTGATATTTATGTTCTCTAAATCGAAAAATGTGATGTTTGCTGTGTGATTTATGGCACTCTCGCTGACCACTTGGAGAAACACTGGCCACTCAAAGAGTCGAGATGTGATCTCCTTCACAGATGGCATCAAGAGAATTGTACGGGATATTAAAGATCACCTTGGGGTGTTGTGTGCATGAAAAAAACACCCCTCGATAATTCCATCTTAAAAACACCACCTGCCACACCGCTGTACATGGTTTTCTTGGGTAGTGTGTGAGCATCATTACATATTACGTTAAGTAATGTCAACTATGCATTTGATTGCAACGTCACTTTCAAGCTAGTACATTGAACCTGCCATTGCCTACCTTGCAACTCCAGAATGCTAGCCATCATATATTTTGGGTGGCCTGTATCAGGGGTAAAAAGAGATGGTTGAATGATTTGAAATTTAATGCCGTAGATATTCAAATACCAGACCTACAGTATATGTGTAAATGTATACATGCAGAGAACATTTTCGTATGTGGCATTCATAAAGTTTCGTGCTTTCCAAAGTAGGCAGCTTAATGGCCAGTCCACAATTTTACGAAACCTCTGGACGTGATGAATATTGCAATCTTCATAATTTTTGAATGTGTACAGAGATTTTGTAAGTTTGACTTTGATTTTAGCAACACAATCGTGGCATTGTCAGCTTCTGTACGAGTGTGGCTGTCATAGTGGTGTTAATTCTGTAATAGAAGCCACTGGCAATGTCTCACTTTATTCGCTGGGATTACAGCATTGATCTCACTGTTTCTTTGCTCAAGCACTAAAACTATAATATAGAGTTAATAGACAATTTTGCCTTATGTTTATACCTGCATGCTTTAATAATGTGTCCCGTTTTATTTCTGTGGTTTGGGATGCTTTGAGTGGGCAACATACGACCAATAATGTCTGCTGTAGAATGCACAGCATGTGGATACATTCGGCCATTGGTCTGTTGACTTCCTTTGAGCTCGGGTGAAAAGCCCCAGCAAACACTACATTTACAGGTTGTGATTGTAAGGTGTCATTGCATAAAACAAACGTAGGAACTTTTCATCCTATTTTACAGGACAATACTAATCGTGCACTATGCTGCATTTTATAAAGATGGATTACTATGCTGCATCAGTAAAATGTGCAAGAATTTGCTTTGCAAATGCTGCTTTATATTTATGAAAATTTTGAAATTTTTATTTTCAAGCTAACGTATCAATATGAAGCAGCGTATTTGTTAAACTTGACTTTGTTCACATTCTAACAACTCACTATTAACTTTGTAAGTGAACATACATTCAGTACCCCTGCAGTCCAACTCAAACCAACACCTTTTGCTTTCTTAATGCTGTTAAAATTCATGAATATATACGCCGTATATATTTTTTTCATTTCAGAGTTAATGTAGGTTTTAGATAAAGCCATCGAGGAATAATTGGCACCAACAGGGAAGTAGCTTATTTCTATCAGTCGATTGATAATTATAATGTGTTCCACCATTGTTACTACTGTTGCCGCTGCTGATGCGTTTTTAGCAGGTAGTGTGCTTGGGATAGTTCGAAGATAATATGCCACCCGTTGCTTGACTAGATCCCAGCGTAGCAGGCGATGCCTTTTTTATCGCTTGTGGAATGAGCGGCCACCTGTAAATTAATCCCCGGCGCAGCTGCGTGTCTGCTGATAGTGATGGCGCTTGCTGGTTCGTTCAAACCCACGGCGCTGGATATTGGAAGGTGCCAGCTTATTCAGCGCTGCAAGGCTCAACGGTGTCGCGGCATGCACCAAAGCAAATATTTGAAAATTTGCAAATGTCAGGCTGACATTCACGATTTGAATCTTAAATAATAATGGAGTTATATTAAGGGATGGTTTTTTTTTTTTGGCCGTGATAACACGGTTACAGTTTGCACCTACACCGGACCCAAAAGTGATGCTACATCACCGTTCAGAAGCATCACTTGAAATTAAATGTAGTTTCGTATTCTACCAGCATTAGCGTACTTCAGTTTGCCATTTGAGTAACAACACAAACTGCTTTAGGCAGGTTTCCAAATGTTGTCTCGCCTAAATTGAATATGCTCACGTTTGTGAGGAGTGAAATATCATTTTATTCTATGCAGGCCAACATTGAAATTTATCAGTATGCCAAATGACCGTTTGCTTGTTAGGAAAGTGATCGAATTTTCACTAACTTCAGCTTTGAACCAAAGTAACCCCATATTTCCATGTAACCACCATTAAAAAGGACCAATAAAAATATAATTGCTCAGTTATTCGTGGGTGTGGGGATAGTTATTTCCTACGGATGTATGTTGAACGTATTTCGCACCTTACGGAGCCAACCGTCAACTGAGATTATTCCAGTAAATATGGCCATTTGCTTTCCAATTATCGTCAGCCATGGTCAATCTACTGCTGGATCAAGGGTCCTCCGAGGCACTGCCACCATCTCTAATGACCCTGCGATGTAATAATCCACTTAAGCATTTGTACATGGGCTGATTTCATTGTTCCATCTCCTCTTTGCATGTCGAATGTACTTGTACTGTCAAAGTACGTGTCAATGAAATAACTGATGGAAACGATGTGTCATGTAACTAATCTAATCTCTAAAAGCTGTCGTTGAACCTCTTAGAGATTTAAAGGTGCACCATGTTACAAACAGGGATACATCAGTACTTGTGGGGATCAATTGCAATGCTGTGGACTCATAAACATTCAATACTAAAAAAAAAACTGTTATTTTTTAAATAGGATGATTTTTCCACAAAGCTGTCTGTCCCTGATGATGCTGGTTGTAATTACTGGTGAAACGTTGTACTCAGATTGTAAATTTTGTGGATTTGCTCTCCAACACACCAGTGTGCTGTACTAGTAATTAATTGGCGTGCTCTGTTTACGTGACAAACCTTACTAATTGGCTGTGTCGGGTGGTGGTGGGTTTAACGACACATTTATGTTTACGCGATCTAACCAAAAAACCTGTATTATTAAGGATAAAACAGTTACTGTAGCAAGCATGTAATGAATACAGAATTAAAGTGTATCATTGGTTTGTATTTAAAATAATGAAAGAAGTATTTACAGAATTCATGCAAATTTACTTCATTAAAACAAATGTGAAGCATTTCTCATTTACATTTTAAATTTCCACATCGTAAGAAGAGACTGAAAAAATATTATAATAACAACATTAATCATGCACCGAGCCTATCCTTGGGATATTTAAGTTCACCAGCCTCCTGAGGAGTTTTGTAAGTTGAGAAAAATGTGCCTATGTAAAAAATAATGATATTTTACTTATTTTTGCACATTTTATTCACTACTATGAATCAAAGTACGTAACTAATACCACGTTACATATACAAGGTATACATGACTGGAATTATCCACTGCTTTGTGACCATACCTCAGCAAGCTGGTAAGTGTGGGTTGGTGACGGCAGGGTGCATAGACGTTGGCGTATAGTGCAGTACAACAATGGGGTTCGCTGCAATGTCCCTTGCTGACAACGTTTTGCGTGCCGTGGTCGCTTAACCAAGCACTCTCCAGGCTCAAACATGATGAGCATCCGAGAACCGACGCGTTGCAGCTGATTTTGTCACAGGCTTTATTCCAGTGTTCTTCACTACTTTCAGAGGGGGGGCAGTGTGGGGTGGGGGGGCACTTTTGCACAATACTTTGTAGTCTGTACGGAAAAAATGAGTAGAGTGGATACAGGAGGAAAGTAACTTTATCAACAAAATATAGCCTTTAGTAAGTCAGGACAGTGAATGGTGGTTGTTCAATATTAGATTGCAGTTTTCTTAAATTGGTCTTATACCATTACAAAATAATACAAATCATTACTTACCCATAAATCTCACACGGAGTCTGAAGAATATTTTTTCATGAGGGTCCTGCTATCGAATGTTTTACCAATACCAGTTCGGTTGCATGTTTTATTTAGCTATGCGCGGAAACCAGGGAACCTGGAGGAAACCCATGCAGAACAGGTCGAGAAAGATACAAATTCCAGGCATTGGCTTCCGGTTGCTGAATGATTTCACTATAAGGTCGCGCTCATTACACACAACGTGCTTGCCACAAATGAACCACAATACCTTGCTGATCTCGTCAAGGAACATAACCCACCACGCAAACTCTGGTCATCCTCACAGCGGTCACTGCCTTGCACGCTTTCAAATGGGCTTCTGCAGTCATTTGGAACGCTCTTCCATCCGACATTAGGAAGCCACTGGAGCTATTTATTTTAAATCTAAGTTGAAAAGTCATTACTTTGTATTGAATGTGTTGTCCTTCCCACACACCTCCAATTAGCATAGTGTGAAAGAAGTTCAACATACATACAAAGGTTTCTGTATCAGGAATTGAGCCTCGGTCCTT